TGAAGGGATTGACAACCCCTAAGCGTATTGGTTGCGTTGAGCTATTGTTTTTGTGTAGGTACGAGGGACTCGAGCATAGCCTCCTACTGTATTGATACCTTGGTTCTCAAAAACTGAGGGAAATACTTACGCTACTTTGTTGCATCATCCCTTCCTCTTCGGGGAAATACAACCCAGTGCTCAAGAGGTATCATGTCTTCATAGGATACCCAAAGGAAATTGTTGGGTACACCTTCTATCACAGATCCGAAGGCAAGACATTCGTTGCTAAGAATTGATCCTTTCTAGAGAAGGAGTTTCTCTCGAAATAAGTGAGTGGGGGGAAAGTAGAACTTGATGAGGTAACTGTACCTGCTCCCTTATTGGAAAGTAGTTCATCACAGAAACTGGTTCCTGTGACACCTACACCAATTAGTGAGGAAGCTAATGATGATGATCATGAAACTTCAGATCAAGTTACTACCGAACCTCGTAGGTCAACCAGAGCAAGATCCGCACCAGAGTGGTACGATAATCCTATTCTAGAGGTCATGTTAATTGACCATGACGAACCTATAAACTACGAGGAAGCGATGATGAGCCCAGATTCCGCAAAATGGCTTGAGGCTATGAAATCTGAGATGGGATCCATGTATGAGAACAAAGTGTGGACTTTGGTTGACTTGCCTGATGATCGGCAAGCCATCGAGAATAAATGGATCTTCAAGAAGAAGACTGACGCTGACGGTAACGTTACTGTCTACAAAGCTCGAGTTGTTGCGAAAGGTTTTCGACAAGTTCAGGGAGTTGACTACGATGAGACCTTCTCACCCATAGCGATGCTTAAGTCCGTCCGAATCATGTTAGCAATTGCCGCATTTTATGATTATGAAATTTGGAAAATGGATGTAAAGGCTGCATTCCTGAATGGTTTTCTGGAAGAAGAGTTGTATATGATGCAATCTCAAGGTTTTATCGATCCAAAGGGTACTAACAAAGTGTGCAAGCTCCAGCGATCCATTTATGGACTAGTGCAAGCCTCTCAAAGTTGGAATAAATGTTTTGATAGTGTGATCAAAGCATATGGTTTTATACAGACTTTTGGAGAAGTCTGTATTTACAAGAAAGTGAGTGGGAGCTCTGTAGCATTTCTAATATTATATGTGGATGACATATTATTGATTGGAAATGATATAGAATTTCTGGATAGCATAAAAGGATATTTGAATAAGAGTTTTTCAATGAAATACCTCGGTGAAGCTGCTTATATATTGGGCATCAAGATCTATAGAGATAGATCAAGACGCTTAATTGGACTTTCACAAAGCACATACCTTGATAAAGTTTTGAAGAAGTTCAAAATGGATCAAGCTAAGAAAGGGTTCTTGCCTGTGTTACAAGGTGTGAAATTGAGTAAGACTCAATGCCCGACCACTGCAGAAGATAGAGAGAAAATGAAAAGTGTTCCCTATGCTTCAACCATAGGCTCTATCATGTATGCAAATGCTGTGTACCAGACCTGATGTGTGCCTTGCTATTAGATTAGGAGGGAGGTACCAAAGTAATCTAGGAGTGGATCACTGGACAGCGGTCAAGAACAGCCTGAAATACCTGAAAAGGACTAAGGATATGTTTCTCGTTTATGGAGGTGACAAAGAGCTCGTCGTAAATGGTTACGTCGATGCAAGCTTTGACACTGATCCGGACGATTCTAAATCGCAAACCGGATACGTGTTTATATTGAACGGTGGAGCTGTTAGTTGGAGCAGTTCTAAACAAAGCGTCGTGGCGGGATCTATGTGTGAAGCGGAGTACATAGATGCTTCGGAAGCAACAAATGAAGGAGTCTGGATGAAGGAGTTCATATCCGATCTAGGTGTCATACCTAGTGCATCGGGTCCAATGAAAATCTTTTGTGACAATACTGGTGCAATTGCCTTGGCAAAGGAATCCAGATTTCACAATAGAACCAAGCACATCAAGAGAAGCTTCAATTTCATCCGGGATTAAGTCCAGGTGGGAGACATAGATATATGCAAGATACATACGGATCTGAATGTTGCAGACCCGCTGACTAAGCCTCTTCCACGAGCAAACACATGATCAGCACCAAGACTCCATGGGTGTTAGAATCATTACTGTGTAATGTAGATTATTGACTCTAGTGCAAGTGGGAGACTGAAGGAAATATGCCCTAGAGGCAATAATAAAGTTATTATTTATTTCCTTATTTCATGATAAATGTTTATTATTCATGCTAGAATTGTATTAACCGGAAACATAATACATGTGTGAATACATAGACAAACATAGTGTCACTAGTATGCCTCTACTTGACTAGCTCATTGATCAAAGATGGTTAAGTTTCCTAGCCATAGACATGAGTTGTTATTTGATCAACGAGATCACATCATTAGGAGAATGATGTGATTTACTTGACCCATTTCGTTAGCTTAGCACTTGATCATTTAAAGTTTATTGCTATTGCTTTCTTCATGACTTATATATGTTCCCATGACTATGAGATTATGCAACTCCCGAATACCGGAGAAACACTTTGTGTGCTACCAAACGTCACAACATAACTGAGTGATTATAAAGGTGCTCTACAGGTGTCTCCGATGGTGTTCGTGGAGTTGGCATAGATCAAGAATAGGATTTGTCACTCCGATTGTCGGGAAGGTATCTCTGGGCCCTCTCGGTAATGCATATCACTATAAGCCTCGCAAGCAATGTGACTAATGAGTTAGTTGCGGGATGTTGCATTACGGAACGAGTAAAGAGACTTGCCAATAACGATATTGAGCTAGGTATTGGGATACCGACGATCGAATCTCGGGCAAGTAACATACCGATGACAAAGGGAACAACGCATATTGTTATGCGGTTTGACCGATAAAGATCTTCGTAGAATATGTAGGAACCAATATGAGCATCCAGGTTCCGCTATTGGTTATTGACCGGAGACATGTCTTGGTCATGTCTACATAGTTCTCGAACCCGTAGGGTCCGCACGCTTAAAGTTCTGTGACGATCGGTATTATGAGTTTATATGTTTCGATGTACCGAAGGTAGTTCGAAGTTTCGGATATGATCATGGACATGACGAGGAGTCTCGAAATGGTCGAGACATAAAGATTGATATATTGGAAGCCTACATTTGGACATCGGAAGAGTTCTGGGTGAAATCGGGATTTTACCGGAGTGCCGGAGGGGTTACCAGAACCCCCGGGGGTTAATGGGCCTTATTGGGCCCTAGTGGAGAGAGAGAGGGGCCGGCCAGGGCAGGCCGCGCGCCCCCTCCCCCTCTGGCCCGAATTGGACTAGAAGGGGGGGGGGGCGGCGCCCCCCTTTTCTTCTCCTCCCCCTTCCTTTCCCCCTAGTAGGAGTAGGAAAGAGGGGAATCCTACTCCTACTAGGAGGAGGATTCCTCCTCCTGGCGCGCCCTCTAGGCCGGCCGACCTCCCCCCTTGCTCCTTTATATACGGGGGCAAGGGGCACCTCTAGACACACAAGTTGATCATTGATCTCTCCCAGCCGTGTGCGGTGCCCCCCTCCACCATAATCCACCTCAGTCATACTATAGCGGTGCTTAGGCGAAGCCCTGCAACGGTAGCTTCATCAACATCGACACTACACCGTCGTGCTGACGAAACTCTTGCCCGAGCTCTACTGGATCGTGAGTTCGCGGGACGTCACCGAGCTGAACGTGTGCTGAACGCGGAGGTGCCGTATGTTCGGTACTGAGGATCGGTCGATCATGAAGACGTATGACTACATCAACCGCGTTGTCATAACGCTTCCGCTTAACGGTCTACGAGGGTACGTGGACGACACTCTCCCCTCTCGTTGCTATGCATCACCATGATCTTGCATGTGCGTAGGATTTTTTTTTGAAATTACTACGTTCCCCAACAACTAGCTCAATGAAGCTTCCCAAATAGTGCCTTCCTGCAACCGTCCTCTAGCTGTTGGGCAACATAGAATATAAACATTAATTATAAATTTGAAAATAAATAATAACACACTTATTATTGTCTCTAGGGTATATTTTCAACACGCAGCCACCACGAGCGCTCGCCACCGCCGTCAAAACGTCGCAGCGTGCGGCAACGACCATGGGGCACTTGGGCGGCGGAGATTCGAAATCCAAACATGCGGGAAAAGCGGTGGCTTGGCACATTCGCCACCATAGAGAGCAGTCAGCGCACACGGACAACGTGACAACAATTCACTATTTTGGCAGCCGTGCGAAGCTTAACTTTCCCCTAGCAGTCACGCCCAAGACTACGTAACCTCTAGTTAAAATGGTCTCCCGTGCTGACGAGAAAGAAAACCGCATAGTCGTGAACTAGCTCGAGGCCGAGCGCATTGATAAGGCCTATATGGCGAAGCTCATCGCAAAGAATCTGCAGCTCATCGCCGAGAACCAAGTGTGGTTTGAGTTCAAGGAGGATGGCGTGATGTGGGACAAATCTTGGCTGAGCCCTCCGACGAGGATGAGGAGATGCCGTCGACTCGGCCTAGTAACAATGACGATGAGACCGGCCCCTACCGGCCCCTACGATGGTGGTGGTGGGTGATCCATATCTCCTTAGACTCAGACGACTTCGACGTATTCTGCGCCAACTGTGGTGATGACGAGTATAGCTTACATTTGTTTGATATGCTATATCTAGTGATAACCCATCTAATTATGTTATGTATGATGTGCAACCTTTTGTTAAATAATGTAATCAAGTAGTTTAGATTTGTCTTTGAAATGAATGTTTATGAAAAACATCATAGAGTTAAGTTTTAGGATAACTCCTTTTTTTTTAGACAAGATAACTCCTAAAATTTGAGGAGACTTTGGATGGGCTAATTTTTAGAAACTGAGATGCCCTCACCGTCTCACCTGGCCCGGTCCATGACCTAATAACCTTCTTAAACCCCAGGTTGACACAAAGAGAGGAAGGAAAATCAATCACCGACCTCTCACGCACGCAAGCCTTTTCCCCCATTCTCCGGCGGCGGCAGCTATGGCGGCGGTGGCGGCAAGGTCCGGGCTCCGACGGATGTTCTCCATCGCCGACTTCGCGACGCCGAACACGCGCATGTTCTCCATCTCGGCCTTCGCGCCGCCGAGCCCGCCCACGCCTCCCCCGAAGGCCGACCCCTCCCCCAACCTCTTCGTCTCCGGTACGATTGTTCCCCCACTCTTTCCTTGTTCCATTCGCTCCTGTAAGCACACCTAGGCCTCGATCCCCGCCAGAGATTTTGCTCGAAAGCTCGCTTTTGAGTGCGAGAAAATGGTATCCAGTCGATTAGGGTCAGATATCATGCCATGATGTGATGTTGCTTATTAGGTCTCTGCCTAGCCTTATAGATCCGTTCTTGCTAGATGTGCAGCAACTAACTAGGAGATATGATGCTGATTCCTTTCTTGTTCAGTGTAAATTTATTGGTCTAGGGCACATCTAGATGTGCCCTAGTTATTGCACATCTAAGTGAGTGAATCAAGCATAAAGAGGAAAAGAAAAAAGAAAAATAAAATATGCACATGAATCTCGGTGTAAGATCAATGACATAGGACCTAGATGTGCAATACTTATGGCACATCTAGATGTGCTTTAGCAAAACTGAAATTTATTACATAAACATGTGGAGGGCACTTTAACTGTAGGCGATTCAAATCCTTGATGTGGATTATACATTTTACGACATTATTAATCTGGTTCTATTAGTTCGCTGATCTTTTTTCTGCGGGGAATGCCTGGCTTGCACGAACCTTAGCGTAAAATCTAGTTATTGCACATCTAAGTGAGTTATTCAAGCTAGAAAGAAAAGGAAAACGACTAAAGAAATGCTTGCACGAATCTTAGCGTAAAATCAACGACATAGCACTTAGATGTGCAATACTTAGAGCACATCTAGATGTGCTTTAGCAAAACTGTTATTTAAACATCAACACTACAATCATTACGCACAAAGAAAACAAAGAGTTCATAATACTAGCCAGACAACAGATTGCCAGGACACACCACCAGAGTTCATGACACTAGTCAGACGATGAGCAGCAGTATTCGCATCCTGCCAAACTGAAAGTCTGTCATCACCTATGTCCCACCAACAGAGAGCTAGCTGTGAAAAAAATCCTTCTCTACAGCCCTAAGCTTGGCCACTGCATTCATGCTATCCAGCTCTACCAGAAGTTTATGGGCTTCCAGCTTCTCAGCAAGGACGAGACCATCTTCTTCGACATGAATAGTGCATCATTTGAATTGGTTTTGAGCCCAGTCTGGGGAGGAGTTTTCCAGCGCTTGGGTTCTCGCCTACTGCTTGCCACCCGGACATGCTACAGATTGAGCTCCATTCCTCTACCAATTTGTGAATTTCGTCAGCGGCGCACTGTGACTGATGAACACAAGGACTCACCACGTCTTACATCATTACACATACGCACCAGCTCCTAACATCTTGTTAGGAGGAGCCTTGCCTCGTCTTCTTTCGAGCCACCGAGAGCAGTTAGGCACCACCGCCGCAATAATTGGATGGCGCTCACCCTCAATCTGGCAACCACAAGAAGAAATCTAGCAAGTGCAAAGGCAAGAAGGGTGGCGATAATGGGGAGGCACAGGTGGTTCCATGATACTCCTTCTAGACTGCAAACGTGGGCTCAGATGTGTCAGTTGTTTTTATCTTTGTTTTCTTCTCCAGTTCAAGTGGGCCGATGGGGTTTCATTAATGACATTGTGACCCAAGTGTTGAAGGGTTGCTGTGGCTCTGTGTTGGGTGCAGGGGCGGAGCCAGGATTTTGGTATAGGGGGGGCCAAGTCAAGTTCATATTTTTTTTGTCTCGACTGAAAAAAAATCTATCATCATACTATAATAATGCCCCACACCTATAAAATATTGTACGAGTTTAAATTCTCCTCTACAATTGCCAATAAGATGAGAAAATTTAATAATTTCATTGGAAGAGAAATTACCTGCCAAATTTTCCAATGTATCTGATCATGTAGCACCAAAGTAAGTCATATCCCATTTGGCGGCGCTTTAATGATAAATTACTGTTTAGAGTGTTTCGAGGCACTTTTCGGCTGATATGGTCCCTCGGATATATAGAAATGCCGATCTTCATCTTGCTTGTCCAGTGCCAGCTCTCAAATTTGGCAATGTTTACCGGGGTCTCTCTGATAAGCCAATTTTGTTCTTGTTCTGCAACATTTACCATGTCCAACATATCAGCTTCATTAAAAATTTCACTAGGTTGAGAACTTGAAGCAACCAGCCTAAAGAATGAATTAATCTTAACGGTGTATGGCGGTGCTTTTCTCTTCATATCTGCTGAATTGCAATTTCATATAGCTATATTGTAGTTTGACATAGGACAAAATTGCACCACAAAAAATAACTCATACAAGGTAATTTGCATCAGACCACGCCATGATAATTTCTAGTACACATATAATATAGGAATTGTTCATAGAATTACAGCATCGCTAATCGCACAACCAAAGCAAGTAGACAACAAAAATCTGATGATACAAGATGAGAATTGAGATTAGTAGATTGTGTGATAAACCTTGGGTCCTCGGCTAGTTCCCGTTGGTTGCAGCCGGAAGATTTGACAAGTGAAGAAGGCAGTGTCGCGCCGTCGCCATACGAATAGGATCGAGATCGCAGTAGGGCAGGGAGAGCAGAGGCGGCCGGGCGGGCGAGGGCACGGAACGGCGGCGACTAATTTCTTGGGTACTAATCCACGTACATGCTTTTTTTTTGGGGTGAAATCCACGTACAGGTTAATCATCACAGGAGAACGTAACGCCCTACCTGGCCGCTAGTGGGCTTCACATGGGTCCTTTTCCTTTTTCCAGAATCAACGTTGAGATAGGGGGGGGGGCAAGTATGTATATACGTGGGAAATATGTGCCTTTGTATCGCTAATCACCACAGCATCGCTCGATCGTTAGGGGGGGCCAGGCCCCTGCTTGCCCCCCCTTGTCTCCGCCACTGGTCGGGTGTGTTTGTCGGTCTGCCTATGTGGTCCTGTGGATGCATAATCCGGGAGTAGTTCACATGGGTGGGCAAGTTGTGACGGTTTTCCATAAATTAATCGGGCAACTCTCTTCTGCTTAATTAATGGATGAGATAAAACTTTTGCCTCCGTTTTGGATTTCTTTAGGGGAGAAACACATGTGCTCCCAACTGACCCAATGAGCCTTCCTTCCACCAGCCGAGCCTCACCAGAAATTTGCCGTGATTGACTGGAGCATCAAACATAGGCGCTTATTAGAACGGAAACAGTGCATTGTGTGACCTGGTACCGCCTGCAACAGACTTGATGAGGATTTCTTTTCCAGCCCTGCACTTTCCCCCAAGTATGGTCTAGGATATGCTTAAAACAGTTTTTTTAGCATCTGACCACCGTATGTAGTAACAAGTATCTCTTGTTCATGGCTTCTACACCACCCTGGTACCGCGTGCAACACAGACTTGATGAGGATTTCTTTTCCAGCCCTCGAGAGACATTGACCTTTCCAGCCCTTAAGATATGCTTAAAACAGTCATTTTTTGAGTATCCGACCACCGTAAGTAGTCACAAGTATCTCTCGTTCAGGGCTTCAACACTGCCAGTCCCCCACGTCCAAAACTCACTCCTCGCAGCCTGCGTTTCCCCTTGCTCTTTCCAAAGGAGAGCAGAAAATCCTTTGGCACATAATATGAAAAGGTAGGGCAAATGGGAACCCCCTGCTGGAGTCCTCTAGATGACTTAAAACATTTCAGACTTACTCCCATTGAGCTTAACGTCATACTTCACAGTTGAGACAAATCTCTTGATCCTCTCCAGCCAACTAACTGAGTAACCCATCTTGAGCATGGCTTGAAACAGAGAATCCCATTTGACTTTGTTATATGCCTTCATCATATTAAGTCTGACTGTATAAAGTTGCACACTTTTGGTACTGCATTTTTAGGTGACTAAAATCTACAAAAATTTCAGGCAACTGAGAATTAGCATAACTGCTTAAAATATGTTATGGAAGAATTATACAAGGATATCGAGTGTATCACTATGAAAAATGAACTCTATTTTGTGGATTCCTGAATGAGTACGGAACATGTGGTGAATATATCTGGATTTGTCTAGAGAACCAGAACTTACATAGATTATAAAGATAGTCATGTACTTTTCAAGTATCCAACCTCATTTTGGTCAAGTCAATGCATGCCAGAATGTAGCATGACACTGTTAAATTTCTGTTCAAATGGGCTTTGAAATTTATGACTATGCTATCACCACAGCACTACGATGTCAAGAGCATCCATCTCTTTGAATCACAAAGCTGATATGCTGCACGACAAGACCAAATTTTCAATTATCTTTTCTTTAGACTTTTGACCATCTTAGTTCTTGCTTGATCCTACACGAAACTGGTCATACAGCCAAACAGCCAAACATCCTTCGAAGCCTATAGGCATCCTACTAACTACCATTCAGGGCCAATACAGTTGATAGTGACTTGACTCTTCAATTCATCATTACCCTTGATAAAGCCAGTTGAAATTTGTATCCAACTTGTTGTGCATATTTTATCTAATCAGCTCTTAGCCTTGTGGTATACACAACATCTGAATTCTCATATTAATAATAATGATTTATAGGGCTAAGCAAGCGTACAACAACTGATGGACTTAGAGAAGCTTTTGCAAAGTTTGGGCAAGTTGAACACGGTATGTGTTTAAAATTTCAGTTACCTCACAGGGCATTGTACTTGAATGTTCTCACTTCTGTATCCAATTGCAGCTCGAGTTGTCACAGATCGTGTCACTGGTTTTTCTAAGGGGTTTGGCTTTGTAAGGTATGTTTCGGTTGAAGATGCAACTAAAGGAATAGAAGGAATGGATGGAAAAGTAAGGTTTCTTATCATACTTATTGTTCTATTTCTGTGGATCATTTAATTCCTTAACGCCTATATTTGCTCCCTTCTTGGTCTGGTGGTTCTGTGATTTTGCTTTCTTCTCACGTTGATCGACTCTGTCTCAATATTCATGCAATGGTTGGTGCTGGCCACTGGGCCAGTTTTAGCCGTTAACTCGTTTTATTATTTTCTTCTCTCTTTCAGTATATAAGTATGTGATTTGTAGATATGTGATAAGTCATAAGTGTACAGGAGTATTATGCATATGTTCATTCAGATGCATGGATTAAGATTCTAATGCATCTGTTTCATCAAAAAGGCCAGTTTGCCTTTTTTTTTGGTGGACAGCCTTATGTTCAATCATGGTTTATAAGGTGGTAAAGTGAGCACCACCTGCTTTGACGCTTAAGCGCCTAAAGCGGGCATATTTCTATGGCGCTGCCAGGGCGCCTTATCGCTGAAGCGTCTGAAGTAGGACGCTTTATAAACAAAGTGTTCAATACATAATTACATAGTAAGAATAATACCTCCATTCTATGCGGGGTTTCAACAATTCTGGAAAGACCATTTAGAAAATAAAACACATATTGCGCCATTAAGAAAAACTAGTCCAACTGGAGATGAGCCATGTGGGCGAGATACCAGAAATTCACTCCTGACACTGACCGGATTTGAACCCTGGTCACAAGGGATGCCTTGGCGCAGTGGTAAAGCTGCTGCCTTGTGACCATGAGGTCATGGGTTCAAGTCCTGGAAACAGCCTCTTACAGAAATGTAGGGAAAGGCTGCGTACTATAGACCCAAAGTGGTCGGACCCTTCCCTGGACCCTGCGCAAGCGGGAGCTACATGCACCAGGTTGCCCTTTCACAAGGGATGCACCGGTGTGGCCCTACCACTGGGCTATTGCCCAGTTCTCACATATTGCACTATTATGCTTTTATCTAGTGGGTGTACGTTTACTCTCTTTCTTAGTGGTTGAACATGGACTATGCTCCCACTGACTAGACTCCCTCCATCCCACAATATAAGATCGTTTTTCAAGCTATGTTAGCTTGAAAAACGATCTTATATTTTGGGAGGGAGGGAGTATTTACGAAGAATACAGTAGTTATTAACTAATGGAGGCTTACTTTGTTCTCTTCTGGATAAATATTTCCTGACAAGTTACTGCCCATACACTGCTTGAGCCTTTTCTTTTGTTACTTGTAGGCAATTAGTTGACATGCTTAAATAATTGTGTATTGACACAAAGAAAAAAATATATAATTAATGTGGTTTGATTGTCTGAAAGGTCTTGCGGGGATCCATTGCTCTCTTGGACTCTTGCATAAAGCAATGTTTGTGTTAATAATATTTGAGTTATTTTGATTTCTTCTAAGTTTTGACGCAGCTTAATTTGTGTGCAGTTTCTGGATGGATGGGTTATTTTTGCCGAATATGCTAGACCCAGACCACCGCCGCAGATGGGAGGGGCAACTCCGCAGCCACAACAATCATGGGGCACTCCTTCTGGTTCCTGGGGCTCACAGTAGATGAAGGGACAATCATTCTACCTGGCTGTGCGTCTGACAGCGTATCAGTCAGCCATCGCAGTCTACATTTAGATCATAGCTACCATGGTGTTGTCCCAGGTGTGAACACCCTTGCCTGATCCAATATTCTTGTCGTGTTGGACTGGTCGTTTACGGCCTCCACATGGAGAAGCACTAGGGGAACCTTATATGGACCGAGCAGGTATTACTGTCAGCATGCAACAGCTTCGGACCATTGCTAATAATGTCTTCTTGTCCCTTTTATTTGAATTGTCGTAAGCCTTATCAGCTGCTGATGGCATGTGCTGCTCTTGTACTACTGGATAATGACTCGTAGCTCGGAATAAGAACACGTTTGCAAGCGAATCTCGGACTGAATTCCCCATGATCTAATCCGTTCCGCGGATAGCGACGTGGATCTGTACAGCGCACGCGTCTGTGTATCGCGTGCCTGTTCCTGATTTGGATTTGGGTTTTGCCAGCTTATGATGTTATCTGAACTATCATCTGTACCATGAACCTTGTGTTTCCTGGTATGGTCTGTACTTTTTACTGTATGCACGTCTGTCACCTGTCGTTACTCTCATCGGTACACCTGTGATCCTTGGCGTTGTTCCTCGCCACTGCTATCTACCTACGGTTACTGATGACCTGAGCATACCGGTTACCGACATGGTGTTCTCTTCTCCGTAGCTGTGCATTCCAGTCAGAGTCAGTGGTATTGACTGTGCCGTCCATGAACCATAAGCTGCTTGCCTGATAGAGAGAGCGACCGCAATACTGATGCGTCCACCAGAGCCCTGGAAACTTGCCTGCCCTCGCCGGCCAACGACCACCTGCATCGTCAACCGTGCCGGTGCCGACGCCGCGGCGTGCTCTCGTGGAATCATAATATCTGCTCTACCTGTAGAGGGCATCGTCTACTGTATGTGTGGCGGCTGTTAATCTCCCTTCCAAAGTTTTAGGGGGAAATCCACCGGGAAGCGGCCGCGGCCACAGGATCTGTCGTCTCCGTCGGCATGTCGCGGTGTCGTGCGTCACGTTGGGAGGATCGCGTTGAGCTCGAGAGCCTTTTACTGCGCGGGCAATGGCAGCCTCAGGGGCTCCTTTCAGATGGAGGAGATGGCGAGAGGTGCCCTGGTATGCAGGGAAGCCGCCGCGTCGCCCCACGTTGGCAGCCTCCTTGCGGTTTATCCAGGCTATCTGTCTAATCTAATCCAATCTATCCGTTTATTGTGTGCGCGCGCGCGTATCCGCTGTCTGGATTAAATGGACTTGAATGTGCCAACAGTGAGTCAGTGACTTCAACCAAACTCAAATGTTTCTTCCCCGCCCAAACGTTTCTTTTCAATTTTCTGAAATAAAAGGACTTTTCTTGTGTCTCAGCAATGGGAAGGTGGTAATGGACACAGCTCGATTATGGGCCCGGCCGATTGTGTTCCTAAATACACTTTTTGTCCAAAATTATATACGTGTTTGACTTTTTGGAGTCTCGAATGTGCAGCATTGACTAATTTTTACTTGCAGTATACTTTAAAATAGTAAAGTTATACTCTCTCATTTTCGGTTTATAGGGCTCAATTAAAAAATCTCACCAACCAAGGTAGATGGTGAGTGGTGGAATAATTTTTATAGTTTGCAAAACCACTCAATTAATACGCTTGTTTTTTCTCAAATAATTGTGTTTATCAATGCATTAATTGCAGTGCATGCATGCATAAAGCACATGTATTGGTCAATTTTTCTTTTAATACTTGCATGCAATGATTTAATGCACCTTAAAATCTCAACGTGTGATGAGAAACAACCAAATTGAACCGTATAAAACAAGAAAACTAAAATTTTGAGATAAGCTTTATAAACCGGAAATGAGGGAGTATATAGTATAACACAAAATAACCGAAAGACAAATAATATTGTACTACTATTTGATCCTCGGTTTATGCAATTCTACGCATGACACTGATACAAGTTTACCACATGTTTAATAATGTGGTCTTTTTTAGTTATATTTCCGCAAGAAGAGAGTATTTTGTCAATCATGATAATTGACTACTCCCTTCGTCTTTAAAAGTGTGTACTTCCAACTTTGTTGGAAAGTCAAACTTTTTTATGTTTAACCGTATTTATACAATAATAGACCAACATTTATGCCATCAAATTAGTAGCATTAGATCCATGATAAAATATATTTTCATCATATACCTATTTCATTTCACAAGTATTGATATATTTTTGCGCAAACTTAGTCAAATTTTGAGATAGTTTGACCCTCCAACAAAGTTGAAAGTACACTCTTTCAAGGACGGAGGGAGTACGTAGTAATTGAATGATCTCACATTTTACCCCAACCTCGGTATCTTGGGAGAATTTAAATATAGTGAGATGCAAGACATGTATGGTTATTTCTGTTATTTTTAAAATTTAAGGTTGTCATGTTAAATCTTAGTTGCGCAATTGTTCATCGGGCACATATATTCAGTTCACCGCCACATGCCATCCTTGTCACAGTTCTGTCACATAGAGGTCCTTGAAAAAAGAAAAGAAATTGTAGAGTTTTTTTGCCACACTGTTTTTGGTCATCTACAATTTGTCTAAAGTTAATCGTAATAATGTCAGAGATCAACCAAGCAAATCTACATTTCATTTGCCGGCCTACGTTGTCGTCTATAGTCTCCCCATTCCAAAAATATAGTGCATTTTTTAAGAAGTCAACTTCTTAAGGTTTAACCATATTTACAGAGAAAGTTATCAAGATCAATAATACTAACTCCAATCCAAAATAAGTGTCGCAATTTTGAACTGGATTTACTTCAAAACCGCAACACTTATTATGGATCGGAGGTAGTACTAAATTAGTTAAACCTTACAAAGCTTGACTTTTGAAAATAATAATATGTGAACTATATTTTGGAATAATCCTAAAGCAACTAAACATAGTAGTGAACAAGCAACACCTCCTTTTCTCTTAGCTCTCCCACCAGTTGAGAATCTCTCGTTGTTCCCTAGTTCTTCTCCCCTTCTCATCTGGCGGCCGACCAGAGTGGGGGTGGGAGAGGAGGCCAAGTTACCACCATATATGCTAGGGGTTGGCCTCTATGCATGGAGACTTGCGCCATGCCGTTTTGGAGACTCTTTGTAGTGTGCATAATGTTTGGTCGCCACCTGGTCATCTCCAGCAGTTATCCATGGTGGACCGTGATTGCTGGGGGTGGATCTAGTGGGAGCTTCTTCAATAAGCTTGGCAGTTCGCTAGAACAGGCTAATCCAATTTTCGCTCGTCTCCTACTTCACCATCATAGAGATGGAAGGAAAGATGGATGTGGATCAACACTCATTCCCCTCGGATCCATTGTATTGTGGGGGTAATAAAGTTGGCTTGGATGTTATTAATCTCTTTTTGGCCACTACATCGACATATGTCTCCATGAGCTACACTAGGGTTGATCGCTGACTGGGCTGACGGCGATCCCATTGGCTGCCATTTCCAACCTCCAAATCAACGAGGCCTTCTTCCCCTTGCCTACAATTTTCAAAGTTATGGTTGGAGACGTGGCCTAAACGTCTCCGCGTGGTCATTGTTTGATTTGGGACCAAATTGTGTTATTTGTATCTCCCGTTAAGGACCCGACTGTAATTTCTATTTTCTAGGGGTCCTTTTTGTGTAATGATGTAAAAATAATGTAGTAGTAATGCCAGCCTATAGATGAACAACCATACTGATTTGTTGTTTCCCGAGGTCAGAAGC